GTAAAGACCCAGGGAACCTTTCCGCTCTCCCGTATACAGTAATAAGTTGGGGTTCCTCCCAACACTCAGCTCGCAGGCCTCCAGGTCTCCCCAACGCCCGTTTATGCTGATCTTAGTGACAATGAAGCATCGTCCAACAATGGCTTCGAGGAAACAAGTAGGACTTCACAGCAATGTAAAGATGGCTCGCAGGCTCTCTCCGCTGGCTTGCAGGCTGGCTCGCAGGCTCACTCCTCGTGGGGTGATTGAGTACTCCCCGGGTGTGATTAAGTAATTAAGCCTAGGAGCCACCAGGTGCCCACCCTTGAGGTTTTCGCAGAACCAGCTAAGCCAAAGCCTCTGGTCCTGCCCAGGGATGAAGCTGACAAGCCTGAGCTCCTAGAAGGCCCCCCACAGCCAGCCCCCGGCCCCCCTGCCGCCAGGCTTCTGGTTGTTGTTTTTTTAAAAGAAGAGACCACACTCTTATTGACTGTCCTGAAATCCAATCCCCACCTGTTTTCTCCCAACTTCATGTAACCTTCCTTACATCCCCTCCTTCATTTCAAATTCAGAGAAGAAGCTGAGTAACTGTTATTCTCCAGAGCATTTTAGATCTTGCACAGTTTGGCTCAAATAAACTTTCCCAAAAATCCTTTAAAAAAAATACAGCCTTAAAAAGGAAGGGCATTCTGGCCCATGTTCCAACCTGCATGACCCTTGAGGACACTATGCTAAGTGAAATAAAGCCGTCTCAGGACGATAAACATTGTGTGATTCCACTTAAATGAAGCACTTGAATCCGTAGAGATGGGAAGTAGAAAGGCAGTTTCCAGGGGCTGGGAGGTGGGAATGGGGAGTTATTGTTTAGTGGGTACTTAAAAAAAAAAAAAAGTACATTCATCCAATCCACAAATCTGGACTCAGAAAACATGCTATCTTTGGACCAATGGTGAGGAATTAGGGCAGTGGTTCTCAACCTTCTGGCCCTTTAAATACAGTTCCTCATGTTGTGACCCAACCATAAAATTATTTTCATTGCTACTTCATAACTGTAATGTTGCTACTGTTATGAATCATAATGTAAATATCTGATATGCAGGATGGTCTTAGGTGACCCCTGTGAAAAGGTTGTTCACCGCCAAAGGGGTCGAGACCCACAGGTTGAGAACTACTGAATTAGGGTCATTGGGGAGTTTTGCTAGTACTTCCTTTTTTACTAAGATTAATTTAGATCACACTGTGGGTTTGGAATGACTGGATTCAGATATTCGCACTGAAGAATCAGTTATGCTGCCCAGCCTGCGTGGCTTAGTGGTTGAGCATCAACCTATGAACCAGGAAGTCTCATTGATGTTCCTCTCTCTCTCTCTCTCTCTCTCTCTCTCTCTCTCTCATCTCTCTCCCCCCTTCATCTCTGAAATCAATAAAAATATATATTTTTGAAAAGAATCAGTAATGTCTTTCTTTATATTCGATGCTGAATATAAGGATTATGTGAAGATGAGATATCCTGGGGAGACAAGGCTACAGAGGCTTGAGCCAATAAAATCCTCTGCCCCCAAGACCTGAGTGTTGTTCTATCAAGTGAAAAGCAGAAAGCTCTTCTGGATTTGCGTGGCATGTCTATTAAATATGTTTTTATTGATTTTTACTGAGAGAGGAAGAGAGAGGGATAGAGAGATTGAATCACTGACGAGAGAGAAACATCATCAATCAGATGCCTCCTGCATGCCTCCTGCTGGGGATTGAGCCCGAAACCCTGGCATGGAAATCAAACTGGTGACCTCTTGGTTCATGGATTGACGCTCAACCACTGAGCCACACCGGCCAGGCTGTAGCATGTCTTCATTTCCTCAAGCGGTCCTCAGTTCCTGCTATAGTTTTGTGCCTTCTGTCATCTGAGTCAGGGGACCCCCAGCCCACTTCTCTAACTCATTTTTCTAACCCAGGAGACATGTGGTATATCATTGCACCCTGAGCAGCCTCATAGTCATGGGAGGGCTTCAAAAGTAATATTTGTAATACTTGGTGATGATTATAGTTAAGATTGAGTTTCAATTCTAGCAGGACTAACATTGGGAATCATATAAGGTTACATTTGAATATCATTTTAAGCCCCAAAACTAACATACCACCCTTCTCTCAGCTGGATGAGAGCAATCTAAATCATCAATAACCAGAGCCTAGGCCCAGAATATTTTCAAGACTGAAATAAAATCTCTGGTCCTTGTGTATGTGGGATATTCCCACATTGCTGGAGTTAGGGGAGGCTCTGCAATCATCAGTACTAAAAACATATTCCAAGATCCACTTCCATGAGTACAATCAGAAATTAATCCTATACACCAACCTCAGCTGTCATTGCTGTGTGAGAGAGACGGTCTGCCCTTCCCCCATGGCCACTCTTATGATGCCTGCCTTTCAAAAGCCTGTAGCTTAGTTGAAAATTACATCTCACATTTATTGACTATCTGCCCAGAGCACATGCCAAGCATCATGCCTGGGTTCTCTCATTTATCTTCATTTATCACACACCATGAGAGCGATGGTATTATCCATTTTTTCAGATGATGACACTCAGGCTCACTGTAAGTAACAAGCCCGAGTCCACACAGCTATAAATCACATGCAGAAAGGCACGTGATAGTTAGACAGTGGAGCAGAGGAGAAAGCTACCACTGCTGGTTGGGATGTGCCAGAAGGTTTAAGAACAGGGTTCATGTGTGAAGTGGAGCTTGAACTGGTGATTTGTATAACAAGAGAAGTAGACTATTTACCATCTAGCCAAAGAATTGAAACTTACCCCAACATTTGTTCATTCAAATGCATTTATTTATCAAGTATATATTAATACTAGAAGCCCAGTGCAATAAATTCATGCACTCGGGATGGGGGAGGGGTCTCTCAGCTCGGCCTGCACCCTCTCGCAGTCCGAGAGCCCTCAGGGGATGTCTGACTGATGGCTTAGGCCTGCTCCCCATGGGCCTAAGCCATCAGTCAGATATCCTTAGCACTGCCACAGAGGTGGGAGAGGCTCTCGTCACCACCACTGTGCTGGCCAGCCATAAGCCCAGCTTCTGGCTGAGCAGTGCTCCCCCTGTGGGTATGCACTGACCACCAGGGGGCAGCTCCTGCATTGAGCATCTGTCCCTGGTGGTTAGTGCACATCATAGTGACCAGCCATTCTGCCGTTTGGTCAATTTGCATATTAGCCTTTTATTATATAGGAATGACTATGTGCCAAATACTCTGCATTGGAGTCTAGTTTATATTAACAGTATAAAACAGTACCCTTATAATACTTACATTTTCTTAGGTGGATGGAGTGAGACAGTGTGCAAATAAATAAACACATAGCACATTAACTTGTGATAAGTCCTATAAAGACCAATATAGATGGCTGATGGGAATAAGGAGATGGGGGCAGCAGGATGGCCATGTTTGATATGGTTGTCAGGGGGAAAAGTCACAGAGACTTGACAGTCCGCAGGAAGGAGCCATTGGTATATCTGGGGGAAGAACGTTTCTCAGGAAGATGATGGCTTTCCCGGGAGGCCCTGAGGCTGACAGGGGAATGGCTAGAGGCAGAAGGTGAAGTCAGAGCGGGAGATGAGACCAAGTATTTTAGTGAGAGCTGTTTCATCATGAGAACAATGTAAATGGAACTTTGGGTGTGTCTGAGCAGAGGAATTACATTCTCTGGCTGTCTCTTAAGTGAGTGATGACTCCAGTATTACGACTTCTGTTCTAAAAAAATTAGAAGATATAACTCCTACTAGATGCATTCAGGCAATCTCCCTGCAATGGATCATTGAATCCTGATCAGCATCTTATTATTAAAACAAACCTGTCAGTCCAGGGTGGCTGATAAAAAGTTCCCTTAGATTTACTACAAAAAACTCACATAGCGGTCATGAATAATCGCATAGTTCTATCCCGAGTTCCAGAACTGGGTTGGAAACAAAGAAGAACTAAGTGAATCCAGCAGCTGCAGTGATTTGTCTACAGTAGGAGGGCCTCACGTAGAGCTGCACCTCTATTAAGATCAGATGGCATGGTGTCTAGGTACTCTACATCACCAGCAGGTTTCTAGTTCATTATCAACCTTGCATCTTGTACAAAGACAGTGAGGATCATGCTGTTAGGTAAGAACTGTTCTCACTAGACCCCTTTGCAGAGCTCAAGCCCCATTTCTGTAAACCACATTTCAAGATCTCTGATCAGTGCCTCCCACCTGACATTTGTACTTACATTGCAGGAGGCCATTATCTTCTCCCAGATGGATCTGTATTTTTGTTCCAGCTTCCCCGTTTCTAAAATCAACGTTGTCATTATCCAATCCTCCAAGACTAGACAATTTGATAACACCTTCAACCACTCACTCTTCTTCAGATTCATTATCTAATGCAAAAAGAAAAAAGAAATTCAGTCAGCTCTTCCTTTTAAAATGTTTTGCTAGTCCCTCTGTTCCTACTTCATTCAAGTTTTTCGTCTGTTTATATTTGAGTACCAAGAAAACATCTCTTCACTCTTCTAACAAAATCTAGTCTTCCTGAATTCTAATCCATCTTACATGCTGCTGCTGGACCCAGTGTGGGAGTGCTTTGTGCTGTGGTATTCCCTTAATCAAGAACACAATAGCTCACTATTAAATCAAATTCTATTGTCTAGATTTAGAGATCCTCCCAGGCTTAACAGTCCCTAGTTCTGTCAAAGAAACCCAGAGCTGGACAGTCATTAAAGCAAGTGCCCATCAATAGACACATGTATAAAGAAGACTGGTACATGTATAAATGGAATATTACCTGGCCATTAAAAAAAATGAAATCTTACCATTTGTGTATGACATGGATGAACCCAGTATTATGGTATTATGCCAAGTGAAGCAAGTCAGTCAAAGAAAAACAAGTACCACGTGATTTCACTTATGTGTGGAGTTCAAAGAACAAAATAAATGAATAAACAAAATTGAAACAGACTCATAGATACAGAGAACAGACCGATGGTTGCAAGAGTGGAAGGGGGTGAAAAATATGAAGGGACTAAGAAGTGCAGATTGGTAGTTACAGGATAGTCATGGGGATGTAAAGTACAGCAGAGAGAATATAGTCAATAATACTGTAATAATTATGTATGGGGCCATATGGGTACTGGAAATATATCAGGGGAAGTACTTTGTGAAGTGTATGCTTGTCTGATCACTATATGCAGTGGAAACAAATTTTACTGAAGCACTCTTTCAATGTCACAAAAGAGACCTCAGGAGGGAACTGGGAATAAATCTGAAAACAAGGATGAGTGGAGATTTTTAACCAAAGAGCAGGTTGGGGTGGGGTGGGGTAGATGGAGAATGACTAAGAGGAAACATCAGGGGCAGGGTCCCTGATTCAACAGTTCTATCAGCATTCTTGCTGAAGGCAGTCCAGGAAGATCAATATCACCTGGGGGATGATAGAGCATGAGACATGTGATCAGGAACTGGGAGTGATCAGATACCCAGAGTGGAGATTCTGGATGAACAGATTTAGAAGGATTCTTGCAAAATGTAGGCAATGCAAAGACAGACAGAAGACACAGGTTGAGGTCTAGTTGAGAAAAGGGTTCAGAGAAGACTAAGTAGACTTTGGTCGGGAAGAGCATCTTGTTAGTATCTTACACTATTTCATACGATTGGCAGAATATAATTAGATGCTTCCCCTCACAGACCCTCACATATAACATATTTATACCTACCCCTGCCTTTTCTGGTAAAAAACTCCAGCATGAATTGCCTCGTCCTCCTCTCAACCCACCCAAATCTCAATCTTCAGAGCTCAGCCCAAAAATCTGTATGTTCATGAAACCATTAGGAAGTCGACAGTTCCTCATGATTTTTTTACATCGCAGGATTTATTCTTTCAGTTGATGAGCTTTTATTGAGCCGAAACATTATATCAAGCCCTGTGCCATATGCTGAGAGATATTTTAAAAATAAGAGTGACTGCCAGGTGTCCTGCCACATCCATTCTCTCCTTCTTTTATCATAAAATCTCTGAAGTTGAACGAATTAGGTGTGAAAAAAAGAAATGCCCAATCTTCAGGTTATATCTTAAAAATGGGAGGTGACCTCTATTTTTCCTGACCCTCTTTGCTGTTGAATGCAGTGTGGACATGATGTTGGTGCAGGTGAACTCATCTGAGGCCATGAGGTAGAAGCCATGTGAAAAAGGAGGAATTGCTTTCTGGATTAGTGTGGAACTCATTATCCATGGTCATGAGTCCATGCTTGTGAAGACTTAGCATTGTGGCTGGCACCTTACAATAAAGCACATGAAGAATAATGAGTATAATGATGAAAAGAAGGATGTTGATGTTTGTGATCATAACTACCATGAAGATCATGGCCCTTTCCCTTTACTAACAGACACTGGGAAATTAGAGTTTTCATCACTTGTGGCTGTGAAAATAAAGCAGCAGGTTTAATAATCAAAAGTAACCTAGATTATATTGAATCCTTCTCACTGTTTGAGACAGAAGAACTAATGTCATGCTGCCTTACCAATATGCTAAGATCAGTGAACATAGTTTTTAAAAGACAGACACAAAGATGTGGTCGATAGGGAAAAGACTGGGGGATAGGGGAGAAATGACAGGAGAAGAGAAGACAGGACAGAGCCAGAGAAATCAACTTGATCTAAATTACAGAGAATCCCCTGTTTGGTGTAAACTTGAATGAAAAAGAAAGGCCGCACAAGCTGGGACTAGGGGGCTCTTCAGTGATTCCTTCTGATGGAAGCTTAAAAGTAAATCGGGTTTAAAGTGAATGGCAGAGTGGAAGGGGAGGCTTTGGCAAGTTAGCTGCAGGCTATGAATTGTATCTTCTTCAGTGTCTTTTGCGAGATTAAATGAAGATGAGAATTCCTTTTTAATTGTTAATAAGTGTTAGCTTGGGATTGTTTAAACTTTACTCCATGAAGAGATTGGACTATCAGGGAACACAGTTTTTACCTAGGTTACAGTAGTTTAAAAATATGAATCTCTTAAAAGTGACAATCCTTAGGTTGTAATTTTCTGTCACCATAAGTAAATATGGTATTTACTTAAAGTATAAAATAGTATTAAGCATGCCTATGAAGCTTTTTATTTAATTTCTCCTAAGTAAAAAAAAAAAGCAAATTGTGGAACACTATTCTGAATAAAATGAGATAAACAAAGGACTTAGAATGAAATATAATAAGATTTGACTCCTATTTTTATCAAGATATTTTTACTTTAATGTGGAATAAGGGGTGGTGTATACTAGAATTATACAGAATTATTATAATTCTGATGAATTTTAAGTTATTATACGGTAAGAAGCACAATCTATACCTCTTAATCAACCCACCCAGAAACTATAGATATAAAAGACACCAGATTCTCAATAATATGAACCAATTGGTCTGATGTCTAAAACTGAAATACCATCGTGCATTTTATATACTCACCTCATGGTCGAAGAATTCTGTACGTTATCACATTTTGCCCCCACCTCCCTAAAAATACTGCTGATGTCAATATTGTGACAGAGACCACAAAATGACAAACATTTTGTTTTCCTGACTCCTTCTTGAGTGATTTTCCATTAGGAAAAACTGATTTACAGGTAATTTATTATTAAAAAGTGTGGTGGTGTGTGTGTGTATACATATGTATGTATCAGGAGCCAAGCACTGTTATATGCTCTTTTGAAACAACAATTTCTTTATCCTCATATCAATATTATGAGGTAGGTATTAATTTTATACCCATTCAATAAATGGCAAAATTGAGAAAGGTTAAGTCATTTGCCCAAAGTCATACAACCAGGACATTAAGCAGGTGGAATGTGAACCATGCTAGTCCATCCATGATCCTTGTTACTGCTAATTATTCTCTACTCACAGAAATGGAAGTAGAACCCCAGTCTTCAGGGACTAATGCCAGGCATAAATATTTCAGCAGGTGCTCACATGTATTAAAGACCAAGCAGACAACATAAGCTAGTGAAGCTGATAGATGAAGGAAAATTCTAGAAAGACATCAAAGAAACACAAGAACTACTGTCAATGTGAGAGACAGTATCTCTCCAAAAGTCAATGGCCAGTGTGTCTTGCACGATGTATGTTCACTATTGCTAGATCTCACCACTTTCTCAATGTTTAAATATTGGTTCATAAAACTTTAAACATCCTGGAGCCAAGCCAAACACCTCCTCTTTGGGTGGAATCCAACACATAACCCAGCGGTTTATAATCTTCACAGCTCATCATATACTTGGAAAACTGAAATAACATGAACAGGAAAAGAAGACTCAGGCCTAAATCCTGGCTCCAGAGTTTACTAACTCTGGCCTTGAAATATTATTTAACCTCTTTGAACCTCAGTTTCTTCATTTCCGATTAGGAATCAAACCTACCTCACTAGATTACTGTGACAATTAAGTAAAATAATGCACATAACTCAATTAGCATAGTGTCTCACACATAACACATGCTCTCATAAATGTTCACAGTTGTATAATTTGCATAGCTACCCCATGTTTTCTTCATTTTAATTGTTCACCATTTCCTTGATTAGTTTAAAAACGGGTCAAAGGCGAACTTCCATCTAAGTAAGCTGCTTCCTAATGAATGCCATTCTTTGGGTCAAGATATAATACAATTGACTTAAAGAGTGTTTTCCATGACTGATGCGAGTATTTTTTTTAATTTTGCGCTTTATTACTTCAACTTAAGCGCTACTCTCTGTTAACTGTGGATTCATTTTAAAGGCAGCAGTCTAAGGAAAATATTTAGACATGTTTAGAAACCTCTGTTTGGCCAACTTTTATATATTTTTCTGGGAGAAAGGTTAGAGAAGACCAAGGAGGAAGAGCATATGAGACCAGTGGGCATGGGAGAGAGACTGGGCAGAGGAAGTGGGCATTAAGCAAGGCAGCCTTCTCTCACTTTTACAAAGGGCTGCTCTGTCACCGGTGGTAGTAGTCAGAGCCCAATTAAGGACAGAGGAGCCACCTAAGCACATGAAAGGGGTGGGGTATTTGTTGTGCCTTATAGAGGAGCGGAGAAGTTAACACAGGGGTCTGTGTGGCCACTGAACCACCAGCAATGTCAGCAGGAACACTGGGCCCTGACGGAGGGAGTTGGCAGAGGTTCCAGAATCCAGGGGTAGGGGTAACCTGGAGGAAGCTAGAACAAGATGCATTGGCCTGGCAGGATCTGGGCAAATGTACCTGGAGCCCTAGAGGATGCACTGGGCAAGACAGGAGGAGAAATACCTTGGCCTCTCCCAGCCCCTCTGTGCAATCTGTCCCCGGGGCCTCAAGCCCAACCAGAAACCAGCTGACATGAGGGACTTGGACATCCAGCCTGAGGGACCAGCACCTCTTCATCCTTTAATTCAGCCAAAAGCAAAGGAAGTGCCAAATATGGCTCTGAGGGCAAGTGGGCTAAGGGGTAACCTTTCTTTTTTAATGGCTATTTAAGCTAGTCACATGTGGTGGTGGTGGTGGTGGGACATCTGCTTGAATATGCACATTATTTAAATATAATTGTTTTGTGGGTGAGTTACCTTTGACAAATAGTTTGTTATAACTTTATATTCTATACTCACAACCTGCTTCATGGTAAGTTGATATGTTGTCCTCTGTAATTTCCAAGTATGTGTTTGTACCACTTCATTCATTTTAAACCTAGTTCATGTAATGAAATTTTACGTTCAAAAAAAAAAAATCACAGTCCATGTATGTTCTCGTAGGTTCTTTTCTAAAATAGGATAGCTAACTGTCAGTTTGCTATTATTACATACCTCTGGTGTGAGCACCCTACATTGTTACTGAGTTTAAGGAAGAATTCCAAGGGAACACAGCAATGACCCGAAAATTGGAGTCAAAGAAACGTGGCTCAAATGAAAGTCCTGCTTCCTACCAGCACCACGATGTTTGAAATGAGTTTCTTACATTGTCCGAGGTTCCGTTTCTTCTTTTTTAACATTGGGTTGAGTGAAGAATGATTAAGAAATTACCTGCAAAGCACCAGGCACAGTGTGGAGCCCAGGATAGGGACCCAGGAAATGTTTCTCTCTTCCCTTTCCCTGTAAGAAGTCATTTTACA